TTTTTTTTTTTTTTTTTTTTTTTTTTTTTTGTTTCCATTTGTTTACTTAGTGTCATCATTATTAAAATTGGATGAATCCTTTTGGTTTCAATAGCCCTACAATGAACACTTAGGTGATTTAGAGAAACAAGTATCAAGAATATAAACTGTGTAATTAAGCCTTGCCTTGAGAAACAGTGTTGAATCATGACAAAGAAGATCAGTGCTTTCAAAAGACAGTAAGTGCATATGAGTACATATGATATAAATCAAAGTACAAGCATTTCAGAGAGCCTTAATAAGACAGATTTAGTGTTCAAAAGGCATTAACTACCTTAATTAGACACACTCCTAGAAACTTCTTTTCGGGTTTTGTTACATTTTTAGTTTACTTGCTTTTCATATAGGCATTATGATAATCTAGTTTTTATGGTACTTTGCAATACCATTGGGGGTATGTGAACAACTATATTAACCAATTTTTAGTTAATGTGCCTTTCTTCCCCCAGAAGAGTGCAATCTCTTTCAATTTCTCTTTCTTTCTTGTTCTCTCAGGCTTTGGATGAAATTTTTCTCTTCTCTTCATCCTGATGGTGTAATACAGGAGCACGTGTTCGTTGTCATGTTTTCTTCCGGGTGGTGTGGGTACTTCTATTACCTTCTCCTTTTTCATCTTTTCTCTCATTATGGCTTCTAACAAGATCCTCTCCAGGGTCCCTCTGATCTCTATGCTAATAGAAAAGCAGTGAAATGACTGAAAGGAAGACAAAGAGAAAAAAATCCCAAAAGCAGCTGGGAGTCCTTAGTTCTAACCATCTCTATGGAAACAATTCCACAGAGATCTATCTGGAAACAATTCTGTAGGGATCACTGAAGCAGAGGTGAGCCAGTTTCACCAAGCCTTACTTACAGGATTCAACTCTCACATGGGAATAGCTGATGGACAATTTTGGGGGTGAGAAAAGTAGTAAAATAGCAAGCCAAATAAAAATTACATTTATCATTATTTAGTGTATTTTTTTTAACTCAAAACTCCTTAATTGCTGTAACAATAAAAAAGCAAAAGGAATGCATGCACTAATTTCAAGTCCTTCCTAAGAATTCACATTGGTCAAGAGTGCCCAATACAAGAAATTATGGCAAAAATCAAAAACGAAGAAAAGAAAACATAGTTCAGTGGTGAAAAGTGATTCGTGTCATTAGAATGATTTTAAGATTGTGGCCCATAATCACACAAACTAAGTATGTGGAAAAAAATGCCAAATTCAATCAGGCAGTAATAAATAGTTTGAACGCAGGCAAGAGGTGAAAGGGATTACAGAATTCCATTTACCAAATCAGGTTGAACGACTGAAAGGATAAAGTTAAAGGGTAACCTGAACCCAAGGAAGGAGGACCAAGGGAACAAGAACACCATCTGAAGTGTGGGAGCTTAGAGTCTTACTGATACAGCAACTAGTTTGGCCAGTTAGCTCAGTTTGTTAGAGCGTGGTGCTGATAACACCCAGGTCCAGGGTTTGATCCCTGTACCAGCCAGCCACCAATATAACAATAATAATTTTTAAAATACCGCAACTATTTTTTTTTGAAAAAGAGGGAGAGGGGCTCACAGTGTCAGTGATACCAGGAATATCAAATTTCGGTTCTAAAGGAATATCAAATTTCGGCTCTAAAGTCTCCAGCCAATAAACTAGTAACCACAGATCTCCTGAGACAGTAACTCCAGTATTTGTTAGGGGCAGTAACTTCAATTTGCCTAAAATGTTGTCTGTTCCTTTAATGCATGGATAAAATATTTGTAATCCCAGGAAGGTTCACAGTGTTTTAAAAGCCTGGCCCTTGGAGTAAAGCCATTTAGGTTGGAATCCTAGTTCTGCCACTCAACTGTGTGACCTTGGGCAACTATTTTCACTTCTCTAGGACTCAGGCACCTCATCTATAAAACGAAGGTAATAACAATTATTTTTCAGAGTTGTAAAGAGTCAGTGAAGTGACTACAGTGTCTAGCTCAAGCAAGCTCTCAATGTGGGCTACTGTTATTACAGCATCCTCGTTTTTTCTATCTCTTGTAACGATGATTACACTGTCCCTTCTCCCCTCCTCTGAGGGATATTTTGAGGCAGTGGGTAGTGGGGTACTATGGCCTAGGCAATTCTTACTGCCCCACACTTATCTTAAGCAGGCTTGAGAATGAATTAAAGCCATGAAATGGAAGTTTCCATTACATGAAGGTAACTGACTTCCTGTCTCCATTCTACAAACTGCAGATAATTTCATGCAGTAAAAATTACTCATCCATCTACACTGCTCACACCCCCTCACCCTGTCATCCCATCCTCAACGGACTTCCCAATGTCTGTAACACGAAGTCTATAATCTTTTGGCTGGGCATTGAAGATTGTCTACAAACGAGCTGTGTCCACATTTCCAACCTTAACGCATCCTACAGAAACACTGCACTGTGGTCTAATTCATCTCCTCTCCAACGCACTCCATGTACGCTGCTATCGTTGCATTTTAACTTGCATTGACCTCTTTACCAGGATTGCCCTCCACCCTTCCCACAGAAATTCGGCTTGCATTTTTTTGAAACTTAAAGAAAAAAAAGGCCGTAATGTGTCATTAGGAACCTTGGTGGCATGACAGCATAAAAAATACTTATTAGGTGTCACTTGTAAGAACAGTTTTCAAGAATATAAAGCTCTATTTAGAAAAAAGCCCGAAGCCGGCCGCCATGAGCGGCTGATCGGCCACCGAGGTTTTAACAGCGGGAGAGATGAAGATAATGCGAAGGTTAGAGAAGAAAGCGAGGAACGATTTTGCAGAGCCAGGAGAAACGCGGTTAGGGAGAAAATCTATCAAAAAGCCCAGGCCCGCGCGACGCTCCCGGGCGACGGCCGCTGGGGGGCGGCCAGCAGCTCCGGGGCAGGGCGAAGGAGGAAGACCAGCCGAACGGCCCAAGTCGGGTCTTGGCGGACACTTTTGTATCTTGGCAGCCGAGAAAAACTCCTTTCTAACGCATAATGCAAATACGGTGGACCGTAACAGCCCTGCCCGCGTTTGGCGGCCGAACTCCGGAGCGCCCTTTCCACGCAGCTGACGCGAGGGATAAGGGCAGGGCTTTGCGGACTTTGTTCAAGGCGGGGCAGGGCACGGGCGGACTTTCCAAACGCCCACACCACGGTTCCTTCAGAACACACTGGCAGCACTGCTACTCCCACCTCACAGCATTCTCGAGAGGGCAGAAAGGCGGGCTCTGAGAATGTGACGGTTTTACGATAAGCGAGAAAGGCAGAGTCCCCTACACTCCTCTCACTGAACCAGCCCCGACTTCTCTCTACCTCGCCCCCAACTACTGGACAGCCCACCAGCGCGCAAGCGCACTTCTTGCGGCCCACGCCAAGGCGGAACCGACTCTTCCGTCTCGCGAGAGTGCAGCCAGCTGGTCTTCGCAGCTCTCGCTCCGCCCCCTCCTTCTCGCTCGCTCTCTCCCATCCCCCCAAGCCAGTAGCTCTGCTGCGCAGCTCCCTTAGCGACTGCCACCGCCGAGACGGTTGGTGCGACCGTTGTAGGGAGCGCTACACGAGGCGAACGTCTTTTTCATCCTCGCGACCGCACCCCGCGAACAGCGGAGTTGGTGTTACTATCGCCCGACAGGGTATCTGAAGTAAAAGGGGGTAGGTTGGGCTGGTGCTTTCGAGAGCCCGAGGCGAACGTCTTTTTCATCCTCGCGACCGCACCCCGCGAACAGCGGAGTTGGTGTTACTGTCGCCCGACAGGGTATCTGAAGTAAAAGGGGGTAGGTTGGGCTGGTGCTTTCGAGAGCCGAGTCGGGAGAAGGACGAAAGAGAATGGAGGGAGCGGGGCGGGGTGGGGGGAAGTGTGGAGGTCGCCGCTCGGAGGCGCTGAGCTGCCCCTCCCGTGCGATCTCCCACTTCAAGGAGGGCGGCCTGTTGGGGGGTGGACTTGCTCAGGTGGAATTCAGTGGACGATGCCGGGCCCGAAGTGGGGGGCATCCAGCATTTCCCCTTTCCCTGCTGGCTTGGCCTCCGCCATTTTGGGTACGGTGGCGCGTCCTCCTGGGCTTCCCGCCTTTCCCCGCTCTTGCTACTTTTTGTTCCCCAGATTCCAAAAACTGATTTAGAAGGCCAGGGATGGGGGGATGGTCAAAGCTCCCTGGAAGGAACGAGGGTGTGAAGCGAGCAGGGAAAGGCCGGGCAGTTGGGTGGCGGGAGGATCCGGGCTGCCGGGCGCGTTCCCGATGGAAATGGCGCCGGATGGGCCTGGCCTCCCACCGCGGCCTCCCTTCCTCCGCAGTCTCGGCAGGGCTACCTGGGCTGACGGGACTGCGAGTGACTTCTGACGCAGATTCCCAAGATGAGAGAGGCTGGAGCTGGGGGAGGAAAGCCAGTGTCGACGAAGGCGCTCAACTCCCAAGTCCAGGACAAAGGAGGCAGACGGCCTCCTTTGTAATTCCGCCGCCCGGTGGCGAAGGTTTTTAAGCCAGTCTTGGCTGCCGGACGGGGAGGGGGCAGGGGCGTACTCTCCTAGCTCTCCGGTCTCTAGGGCAGCTAGATAAACGAAAAGTCTCCGGGGAGGAATAAAGGACGCTTAGCCGGCCCTTATATTCCAGATTTGGAACTTCGAAAAGAGTACGTACTCATTTTCCGAAGGGGATTTTTCACGCTTAAATGGTTATAAAGACTTTGTGAGTAATTCTTTTGTAAGCAGAGAAGTGGGTAACTTATCAAATAGGAATGTGAAATGGGCAAGTTTCAAATAGGTCATCTGGGCTCAGTGAACAGTGATACCGCTTTTTGAACTTGGGCGGGGGTGGGTGGTTTAGCAGTGGTTTTGTGTAGTTTGGCACGTATGGGTTGGAATTTGTCTTTAAGTAGTTTTACTTTTCAGAAAGTTGTTAAAACACAACCAGTGATGGCAAAAATATGTGGATATATAATAGATACCCAGGAATGAAGTTACTTTCAATGTTAAATCTCCGAATGTTGTATTTTGTGCAGAGATTTTTTTTTTTTTTTTCTTGGCATTAAGGTTTTAGAATAAAATATTTCAAAATAGAGTTTATTTTCTTTTGGTAGCTAAGCATGGTTTTTCTTTAGGAGCGTATCAATATTTTGAACAAAGAAATAAGCCTACTAAACAAAGACAAACTAAGTTCAGTCACGTGGTGGTGGTGTGATTTTTTTTTTTTTTTAATTTTATTTTTTGGTTCTTAGAACAACGGAGAACTGGATATGTAATTTTGTTAAAGACAGTACAAAAGGGACAGGGAAAGTGTGAGAATAAGAGTTTATAATAATGCATATAAACCTTAACAAGAAATCTGTGTATCTGTTTTTAAGCTTTAAAACAAAATAGAGAAAAAAACTTTTTGCCTATTGTAGAAGTTGTGGTAAGATGCTTTGTCAAGATAGCCAAGGAAAAGTTTACCAAAGTCTTACATTGAAACAAACAGTGGGTTTTAGCAGGCTTTGAGAAGACAGCCCAGACTTTGGTACAGATGACTAACAGCTTTTGTAACTGGCTTAGACAACCCACTTTTTCATCTGCATCATAATCTGCAAATCCTTTTAATTGCCTTTTTTTTTTTTTTTAAATAACAGTGTTATGTTTTGATGTCCTTGTTTTGGTAACCAACTTACTGAGCTGCAGTACGTTAAAAACTTGGTTCTAGTAAACTCATTCGTGATCATTTTAGAGACCTTACCTCCTTTAGTTATCTAGGTTTTTATTTAAAATTAGGGAGCAAGAACATTAGAAAGGAGGAATGAAATTTCCATTATAGTTAAACTTATATTATCATGGCTTTTGGCCAAAAACAATTAAGGTGGTTTTGTTTTGGGGTGGCTGGCTGCATTTTCATTTTTTTAGGACCACTGGGCTATAATTTTTAGTTATTTATTGAAGCATCAAATCCTTTATTATAATTTAGAATATATTATAATTTAGAATATAGACTATGCCTCCACATTAAGGGAATTCTATATTTCAATTGTTTATCAGATGCTTTTTCTTAATAGCTTTGGGATATAATGCACTGTCACAAACTCTGCCCATTTAAAATGTGCAGTTCAGTGCATTCACAGTTGAGACCATCACTACAATCTAATTTTAGAACATTTTTATCACTCCAAAAAAATGCCTATAACCCATTAGTAGTCATTCTCTGTGCTGGCCTCCTCCTTTCCCTCAAGCCTCAGACTATCATGAATCTGTAGATTTCGTATTCTGGATATTCACCTAAATTGGATCATACAATATGTGATCTTTTGTGACTGGCTTCTTTCATATTTAGCATAATGTTTAGGAAATTATATTTAAAGTCTCATAAAACTGACAGGTTATCCTCATATTTTAACTGCTGTTATTTTTAATTGTTGCTAACACCTGGAATCCTTAAAGCAGTAGTGATTAGCCATGACATTGTTGCAAAGAAAGGTTGAGATGGATTATCCTGAATAATTACTAAACAGTTTAGGTAGTTTCTGACAGCTATATTAAGGTATTAGAGCAGATTGCCTTTTTGTATGCTTTCAGAGTTTTTCTTGTTTTTGTTTTGTAAGTAGAATTTTGAGTTTTGAAGTGATAGTAGAACAAGCCTGCCTTTTTTGTTTTTTTAGAATACTCAAGTGCAGTAGTGACAAGTGGGGAAAGAGTAGAACAAGAAGTTTGATCCGTAACAGACTATGAACAGTTGACTGAGGACTGCCTTTTTTTATTGTATACTCTTAACATGTGGGATCGAAAGTCACCTTTTGAAATAGTTTATAAGTGTTCCAAATCTGGTTAAGTTTTCTACAGTTAAAAATAGCTTTAACAGTTTAGAGTTTTCACATGCAGTACTTTATTTGTTGTTTTCATATTGGTCTTCTCACTGGTATGGGCTAATCCAAAAATCAAAACTAGTTGGCTTGCTAGTATGTTGTGTGTGTGTCTGTGTGTGTGTGAAGTGCTAAGATTTATAGTAAAGGTAAATCAATTTCCATCTTTTTTATATTTGCTCCTGAAATACAAATCTTTACATGGAAAAAAAGAAACGTGCTAAGAGATGTTAAAAAAGCACCACACTAAGATCTTTTCGTGATAAATTAGATGGACTTTGCATTGTTCATAAATTTTCCATGAGGAAGTAATATTTGGTGTTAGATCACTTCTACTTTTTCCTCTCTTCTGTTTTTAAGTCACCCTTTATAGGAAACACTTGTTTCTTAGGTTGGTGCTATTTTCAAACTTTTTTTTTTTTTTTGGTCTTTCAAAGAAAACAGAGATCTTCAAAACATTTCTGAACGACTTTTTCCAACTTGATTTGAGGCCCCCTTTCAGGGCTGCTCTAGAGTAGGATATTTTAAAGCCTTTGTTGAATTTGGAAAAGGTTTGTTTTATAAACAGTCCTTATTTCAAGACTTGGAATATTTTTCTGTTCTTTAACATTCTGATAATCAGTGAGGGGTAGGTACTACTGCTATATTTTACAGTTGAATAGGCTCAGCAGTTAAATAGTTTGAATTCAGTAGCTAGTGAATGGCAGAGTACATGGCAGAGTAGGGTTTCAATCCCAGGGTTTCTTTTCTCTTTTATACCAGTTATTTGTGTGCATAAGAATTAGCTGTAATGTCAACTAAAAACTTGTATGCTTCCTATTTTGGTTTTCTGTGTCTGGAGTGGTGCCTAGGACTTTAGCTTTAAAAAACAAAACAGTGCGGAAGGTGATTCATATGTAGAGGTATCTGGTTAATAACCACTTCTGGAGAATTTCTACATTAGCTTAAGTGCATGAATTCTAGGAAGAAGCAATTTTACCCTTTGCAGATGCTAACCCTAACAGTTGCACTGATATAGATAATGTGAAGTTAAGCATTTGTGAATACTGTTGATACAAAATAAGATCCTCAGGCATAAAGGAATCAAGTGAACAAATCGTTTTGGTTACAGGGGAGGAGGTGGTGAGGGAAAGGTTTGAAATATTCAGGTGAGTAGAATTCCTACAGCTGCACAGTGAAATTTGTATGGTTCTGGTAAGTTTCTGCAGCTGGAGGACTTCTGCATTAGCCTCTTTTGAAAATGTTTTGGAATTTTAAAAGGAAGTATGGTTGCCTCTGGGAAGGGAACTAGGAGGATGGGTTCATTTTGGAGGGGAAAGTTGGGTGTTTTCACTATACCTTTTCATCCTTTTTTGATTTGAATATATTACCTTCTTTAGTTTTGTGTTTAAACTAAATCTGTTTGATTAAAAAGTTAAAGCAGTGAGTAAATTGGTTTCTATATACTATCTCCAGTGACTTCAAATAGGTGGCTTCAAAAACACGGGTACTGTTGGAGGCGTGCATTTTTGAGTGACCTTTTACCTCAGTTTTTAAAAATTCAGTCTTATTAATTCAGTCATTTTAAAACTCTTGCTCTTGCTTGGTGAGTGTTAACACTTGATTTAATTAAAATAGAGATGGTAATTTTTCCCCTTCAAAGACAATTTGATGTGTTCAAAATTATAGTACATCTAAAAAGTTTAGACTTATGTAATGCCATTTTTCCAGCACCAGCAAGTACTCATTGCATTTTTTTACTTAAGATTTTAATGTGAGCAGACAGTGGAACTATATGTAGCTTCTTAACCAAGTTTTAAAGAGTTTGCAGAACTATTCAGATAAATAAAGGAATCTGAAAAGTGAATGAATTTGAGAGGAAAAGGCTAGATTTCACATTAAGATAACACAATTAAGAAATAGTTTGAAGACTCTTGTAGTGGAATTATGGAAGTTTTTAAATTAGGCAATATATTTGGTCCTAAGAAATTCCCTGCTTTTTGGTAGGAGGGGTCAGATTTTGCTGACTTTCCTACCCCAAAATAGAAAAGTGGTATTACCATTTTGTTATGGCATTGTCACAGGATTTACTTACCTAGCCCTATATTACATTTCCTGTTGTGACACCTCTGAGAGGTGTTGCTTCATTACCTCTTGACAAGAGTATATTTTGACTGCTTTGTATGCTTATTCTTTTATAGCATTTAAATCAAACGGTATTGAGATGGATTGGGTTATGAAACATAATGGTCCAAATGACGCTAGTGATGGGACAGTACGACTTCGTGGACTGCCATTTGGTTGCAGCAAAGAGGAAATAGTTCAGTTCTTTCAAGGTACCTCTAGTATTAGTCAAAGTTTAGTAGTATTTTAATTTTATATTTGTATTATATTCAGTTTTTAATTTGTAAAACTCATTTGATTTTGGAAATTTTAAATTTAACTATGATAATCTTGGTTAATGTATTAAATAGGAAATGTGCTCCAGTTGATGTTCAAAATGTGTAGAATATGTAAAATCTAATTAATGTGCAGTGGACTTAATTAAAAATAATTGTATGTGAAGAAATGAACCATGAATTAGCATGTGGAACATAGTTAAATTTGATTTGTAGATTTTTTTTTTAATGTAATATAGGTGGGCTTTTAGAGTGTGTGTGTAATTTTAAAAGACACTGGTAGCAAAAAGTTTTATTTAATCCAGTAATATTTGAAAAAAATCTTCCGTTTTATTATGGGGTGATGGGAAACTAAGCTTTTTTGTTTTGTTTTGTTTTGTTTTGTTTAGACTTGTTTTAAATATTTGATTCAGATGGGAATGTTTCAGCCTTTAACACTGTTCCCCTTGATGGGGTTATTTGTCCTTGGGTTAAAGGGTTGGAAATCGTGCCAAATGGGATAACATTGACGATGGACTACCAGGGGAGAAGCACAGGGGAGGCCTTCGTGCAGTTTGCTTCAAAGGAGATAGCAGAAAATGCTCTGGGGAAACACAAGGAAAGAATAGGGCACAGGTGGGGATGGAGAGTTTGGGATGGTGTTAAATTTTTATTTTTGGGGGTTGTGGGTCACTATTGCTTAAATGGGGGGGGTAACCATAACATTTTTATGGGGTAGTTAAAAGAATTGATAATTACCTAAATTTAACTTGGAAACTACAGATTTGGGTGGGGAATTATGCTAATAGTTTGCTTAAATTAAAATTAGATTGTTTCCATTTCTCTGTAGGATGTTGTTGATAAATGCTTTTGTATAATCACTTATTTTCTTTAAACACCTATCATGTACTAAAGGAAACAAACTAAAAATATATTTTATGAAATTGTTTTCAAAAGACTAATTTGTCTATGTAAAACTTAAATATCTAATTATTTAAGTTTGTAGGTGTAAAAAATGTTAACTTATGGTGTATTTAGGCAATTTAAATTGGGTTATGTATCTAGATGTAGAAAAACTTTACTGCATTTTGCCCAATATCTAATTTACTCTAATACATTTATCCTGAAACCTGTACCTTAAAACATTTTTAAATAGGTATATTGAGATCTTCAGAAGTAGCAGGAGTGAAATCAAAGGATTTTATGATCCACCAAGAAGATTGCTGGGACAGCGACCGGGACCATACGATAGACCAATAGGAGGAAGAGGGGGTTATTATGGAGCTGGGCGTGGAAGTATGTATGACAGAATGCGACGAGGAGGTGATGGATATGATGGTGGTATGTGTATCTAATGAACAAAGGTTCTGTTGTCATTTTCTTAATGTTCCTGACATTTTGTCAAGAAATACAGAAATGGCAGTAATTTCAGTACCTGCTAGGTTTTAAAACCTGTTCATGAAAAGTGGATTTCCATGGAGAACTGTGGGATATGACTGATGCACATATTGGTACCTCGAAAACTTACACAGAAATTAAAACGCAGATATTGGCATATTTTGACATTTTCTTTTCTGCATAAGGATGGAATTTAACTTACATGTCTGAATTTATCTTTTTGAGATTTTTTAATTTCCAGTAAGTGTTAATTGCTTTTTTCATTGGGAGTTGCAAACTTGTAATCATAAAGAAGTTAAACAGACTGCTTACCATAAAATACGTTTTTGTAAACTAGATATAAAATTGTCTCTTGAATGTGTGTTCATGTATTTCTCCTTAAATTACACAGGTTATGGAGGTTTTGAAGATTATGGTGGCTATAATAATTATGGCTATGGAAATGATGGCTTTGATGACAGAATGAGAGATGGAAGAGGTAAAATAAATATTACAGACATTATCATTCTGGGGTAAATTTTACTATTTGCTTTATAAGCTCTTATAGGAGACTCGTGTAAAAAAAAAGTTAACTCAGTCATATTTCAGTGCATTCCTCCATAGGGCTTTATACCTTCTACAGTACAGATGTATTCTATAGATGTATTTTTAATAGTTTATAATTTGGCAAATTTATTTTCTAGGTATGGGAGGACATGGCTATGGTGGTGCTGGCGATGCAAGTTCAGGTTTTCATGGTGGTCATTTTGTACATATGAGAGGGTTGCCTTTTCGTGCAACTGAAAATGACATTGCTAATGTAAGTAATTTGAGTAATTATTGGTGGTTTATGCTTGGTATCTAACTTTTGAAGCATTCTTAATATCCTCATCTTTTTCTTTATAGTTTAATGTCAGAATCCCTTAAATATAAAAATACATCTGCCTTTTATCCTTAGTAGTTGATGGATATTTTTGTGTCCATTGTGTGCTGACCTGCAAAAGGATTCAAGCAAGCAAAAAGGTACAAGCAAAGAGCAAAAAAAAAAAAGAAAAAACCCAGTTAAGAACATAGCAAAAGACTGGTCAGCATAGACTGGTGATGACTGGAAGATTGTTTCTTTTTGTCGTGTCAGGTTTTGAAAGAGTGAATATGTAATAAGAGTGGTTTGGTTTGGCTTTCTAGGCTAGATCTAGATATGGATTAGAAGTTGAGGAGTTGAAAATAAATAGATGCTGCTTGCTGTTATTAATTTGAAACTGGCTGGTTTTAGGTTGATTGGGACTTAGCAAACTTCAGTGAATGGGCCAAATCCAGTCACACCCATCATCTGTTTTACCTATTGAGTAGTTGGCATTAGAGACCCAATGGCCTATAAGGCCAAAAGAAAAAGTTTGCTTTAGCTCTTATTGGGAACCAATTGGCCTAAGTTCCAAGTGTCTTTAAGGACAGCTTAAGCCTGGTTAACTTGTGATTAGAGATATTTTGGGAGCTATTCATATACAGTTAATAGGTTTATCAAGCCCCATTGTTCTGAATCATGTTTTACTCTATTTCTCTATACATATTTTCTAAGTCTCAAGTAACCTATTATATTTCAAATAGTAATTTTGAAATACATTTCTTGGAAGTCAAGAGGGTGGCGCTTAACTTTATTCTCTCTCATTAGTAGGCTATCAGACTTTTTTCATCTGTTAGGGGGTCTAACCTATTTTCTAGGTTAGATGACCTTTTTCTTTTTCTTTTTTTTTTAATCTGGCTTATTTTTAAAGTGGTTAGTTCTTTGCATTTTCCCTAAATATGTAGTCTTATATTCACAGAACCTCTGTAGTTGGTTGAGATACATTATCCACAAGGCAGTGGAAGTTTGTTTTAATGCATGAGGAAAAATCTCAAGGTATGTGTCAATTTACCTCCAATAATCTAAGAAATAAATAACAAGTGTTTTCTTTTATTTAGTTCTTCTCACCGCTAAATCCAATACGAGTTCATATTGATATTGGAGCTGATGGTAGAGCAACAGGAGAAGCAGATGTAGAGTTTGTGACACATGAAGATGCAGTAGCTGCCATGTCTAAAGATAAAAATAACATGCGTAAGTGGTGTCCTTGGCATGCTGTCTTGTTTCCCAGATGTGAACTTGTTTATAAATTTCTCGTTTGTTTAAATAAGTCCAAGAGGCTCTATGTTCTGAAGGTAACTTCGCAGTCATTGGGATCTAAAACCTCTAATACAGTTTTGGCTTCCATTAGAGTCTAAACTGGGGCTTTTTATATCACCCACACTAGGAATTGATAAGCGTCGTACTTTCAGTTTAATATTGCTAATCAAACTTTTAAAGCTTTTATTGGTAAATTTGATCTATCATTCCTTTCTCCCCTATTTTTTTCTAAAAGAACATCGATACATTGAACTTTTCTTGAATTCTACTCCTGGAGGCGGTTCTGGAATGGGAGGTTCTGGAATGGGAGGCTACGGCAGAGATGGAATGGGTACGTAAAATTTTTTAAATAAGCACGGTTAACTATTTAGCAGGCAATCTCAAACCTTTTTTTTTTTTTTCCTTTTTTCTGGTAAAGATAATCAGGGAGGTTATGGATCTGTCGGAAGAATGGGAATGGGGAACAATTACAGTGGAGGATATGGTACTCCTGATGGCTTGGGTGGTTATGGTAAGTATCTGGTTTGTGTTAGTCCCCACATGTAGTACAATTAAAAGTGCGGATACTACTTTTAATACCTTATGCACGGTTATCTTCTGCTTAGTGATTCTTAATGTCTTTTTTTCTTAAGGCCGTGGTGGTGGAGGCAGTGGAGGTTACTATGGGCAAGGTGGCATGAGTGGAGGTGGATGGCGTGGGATGTACTGAAAGTATAAACACCAACATACAAGTCCTGACAACAGCATCTGGTCTACTAGACTTTCTTACAGATTTAATTTCTTTTGTATTTTAAGAACTTTATAATGACTGAAGGAATGTGTTTTCAAAATATTATTTGGTAAAGCAACAGATTGTGATGGGAAAATCTGTTTTCTGTAGGTTTTATTTGTTGCATACTTTGACTTAAAAATAAATTTTTATATTCAAACCACTGATGTTGATACTTTTTATATACTAGTTAACTCCTAAAGATGTGCTGCCTTCATAAGATTTGGGTTGATGTATTTACTGTTAGCTCTACAAGAAGTAGTATAGTATAATCTTACAGGATAATGTTTCACACCTCTGCATAAACAGCAAGTCTTAATAAGCAGACATCTGGAATAGAGCTTGAAGAATAATTAATATAACTCTTTTCTTTAATTTCTCCTGGACAACACTGTAAATATTAAAGCCTATGGATGAGTTTAGGTGACTTCAGGAGTATGAATTCAGCTAATTCTATATTTTGTTTGTTTGTTTGTTTGTTTTTGTTTTTCTAATGTCACTTATCAGGCTCTGAAATGTTTTATCTAAGAGGTATCTGGACTTCTGAATATTCATAATTGTGTTACCTGGGGATGGGAGTGTTGGAAGTTTAAATTCTAGCCCTAGATTTTAGAATTAAAATCCCCTCAGGGCTTGACTGAAGTACCAAAAAATATTTCAAAAAAGTGATAGTTGTAAGTTATCTCAAAATGTCTTAGAGTAGGTTAAAGTTCTCAGTGACATGAGAATTTAGTATAAGTACATAGGTATTTACTGTGGAGTATAATTCTCACAGATGTATTTTCAGTTTCCTGCCCAATAGAGCATCTATGGTTTTTAAATAACTGTATAAAATGACTACTTTAAAAAATGTCCATGTCATAGTCAGAATCCTGCAGTTGGATTTTGCTTCTGATACCTGCTTGGAGTTTTAGTTGAAAATTCTATATGTAGCAAGGAAAAGGTGCTTTTTTAATTTTAATCCCTTTGATCAATATGTTTTTTTTTTCAAATTGGCTAATGGATCAAAATGAAACCTGTCAATGTGAATTCAGTTATTGAACTTGTTACTTGTTTTTGCTAGAAATGTTATTAATGTAATAAATGTCAATGTGGGAGATAATAGTTATGGCGTCTGTCCTAGAATGCTTTGTGTGGTTACTGATTATAAATCAAACTGGTAGAACGTACAATACAGGTGGTCCTCCATGTAAGATTTTTCAGCTTTATGACTGCGAAAATGATTTACATATTCAGTAGAAACCATTCTTTGATCTGTACAACCATTCTGGTTTTTTTTCACTTTCAGTACGGTACAATAAATGAGATTCAGTGCTATTATAAAATAGACTTTGTGTTAGCTGATTTTGCCCAACTGTAGGCTAATATGTGTGTTCTGAGCCCATTTAGGAGAAACAAAGCTGAGATTAGGTGTTGAGTATGTTAGGTGTTTGTTATTAAGTGCATTTTCAACTTAGGAGGAGGTTTATCAGGAAGTGACCCCGTTGGAAGTCAAGGACCATCTGCACATGTTGTCTGATTGAAGATTAAGTTTAGATAAAATGACTCCTAAACAGTTATTTTCCCAACATTACCCTCTTAAAATCTTTAAGCAGTAAAAAACAAATGTTAGAAATGAAAGTTGTCCTTCTAAAGGTTACTTTTTCAAATCTTTATTGGTTTATAAAATTCATGTTTTATTTTTAAACCATTACAGGTTAAAAGAATTACAATTGCAATTCCTTGGCACCATGATAGCATTGTAGTGTAGTACTGGTTAGATAAGGGAATATGGTATGTGATCTACTGTGGAAAGTAAAAGTAGTGTTAGGTTCACAGTCAGTCACAAAATACAAATTGTGAAAGTTTTGTAACAGAAAAGTTCAAAATTAGTACAAACGGTTTCTAAGCCAAAACTAAAATGGAGCAAGTCGCACTGCTGCCATAAAAGCTGCTTTAAAAAGCTGGCTTTTTAAGAAAAGCCCAAATCGGTGATAAATAAGTTTAAAATGGTGGGAAATTTCAAGGGTGACTAAAAATCATGGTTTATCTGTTGAATGAAATCAACCTTGGAATTTAAGCAACTTACATGTCACATTTTAAAATTTGTTGCAAGCACAGTAATTAAACACTTAAATTTTCATTTATGCTTAGTCTCAGCAATCACAAATACTGTTAATCCATCCCATTAATACAAAACAATTCAAGAATATAATTCCTATCTCTTGAAGACTTTTCTGTAAATATTCAAGAAAGATCATCAAACTCTAGGTCAGATCTAACTGAAGTTGGCTTCAAGCTGACTTGAAATTAATGGATTCTGGAGAAAATAGGTCTTCAAGTAAAATACTGGTTTCATACTTTACCAATTTAGAAAATTAAATAACTTTAAATCATAAAGTACATACTCATGAGGATAAGATCCTGCAGAATAAGTAACCCCATTTTAGGAGAAAGGCGGGTATCATGATTAGTCAGTCACTAAGTGTAATGCTCCTAAGTAATGTAAGATTGCTATATATTTTTGAAAGGCTCATAAAGTGCATGGCTGAAATTAATACAAAAAGAATCCTTACATGATGATGCTGTTTAACTGATTATACAGAGGTAACTTAATTTTTACAGATTAAATTCTTGGTATGCTATAAGAAGTATAACTAGATTAGTGTTCGTTGAATCTTTGAGTTTGAAGTACTTGAAGTATGTATTTCATGGTTGGGCAGAGACCACATCTTCATCTGCTCATGACTGGCAAAAGGATGCTTGGTAGACACTGAAATTTTACAGTGGGCATAACACTGCAGTGGTAGACTACTATAATGTAATGCTTCCTAAAAGTTACTTCAGTGGAAATGTAATACAAGAATTATTTTTGGAGGATTTATGTTTTTATCTTTAAATTGGGGTCTGAGCCTCCAACCCCCAAATATTAGCAATTTAGTGAGACACAGGTAGCATGTGAGTTCTGTAAGTAACTTAAGTAAAAGGATGACAGTTGTGTAAAACTTCTTTTAACAGAAGGAAAAAAGTTGAGGCCAAATCAATGCCCCTTTAATTTTAACCCACTGTATCTGAAAGGCAAGCACAATGAGTGATTTTAGAAAACATGAAAAGGAAATTTTGTAGGATAAAATACTGGTTTTTTCTAATGCAAGAAAGGGAAGGAGGAGCTTTGAGAAAGGATATAGTTAAAGCTGAAATTTTACCAAGATAATGAAAAATCTGTTGAATTAGAATATTAATACTTCTAAAAGGTTTTATGTATTTCCACTGAAAACCATGAAGATTTAAAGTGCATTAAGAGAATTTCAGGCACTATGAAGTACCACCTTGACAATTCAGAAGAATGAAACAATCTGAAGCCTTACTTTTAAGAAGGCCTTTAGAAGATAAGGCAAGTGTGTGTTAACTATGCTATCTGGCCTTTCAATGGAGTTATGGAGAACATGATTATTACATCAATTAAGAATTAGTTTAAAGTTATTTTAAAGCATGCTCTGGTGAAAATTCTCTAAGTAACAAAGGGGAAGGAAGTATCAAATCATCCAACTTCTAATTCCCATGAGTTGAAAATGTGGAAGATAAATTGGTACCAATACTGACTGAAAGCTGCTTAAGAAGGGCTGTCTGGATACCTCTCCCTTGTACACAGGGTCATACAAAACATCCATCCATTGTAGGTACTTCCATACATAAGGATTTAGTATGCAGTCTTATGGCAAATTAGATGAGCATCTCTGAATGAGTAATGCGTGACAGGAATCACAGACCCGTACTGGCTTTGGTGAAGAAGGCAAAGGCAGTTCGTTGTCAGAACAGGCATTACAGAAAATTTCCCCACAGTTTCTACAGTGGTGCTATTAAATGGAAAAATCAGAGAAAAAACTATGAATAAGATTAGAAGCCATTTTTGCACCAAAAATTTTGGATTCACTTCCTATCTAACCTTACCTTTCTCTTAGAGAGCGAGAATTCTTTTTCACAAAGTTTACAATGTGTTGCTTCTTTGTCTTTCAGCCAAACCAGTCCCTATTAGGAAGAAAAGTGAAAATGTTCACATTGATAACACTAAAAATTGCCTCTAAAAACTTTTTTGCCCAAAAACATTTTTAGAAATAGATGTATAAAGAACTGAAAATAAAAGTCCTTTTCTTTGAGAGAGAGATATATACTAAAGTATTTTAGATGAAATATGTGTGGAATTTGCCTTAAAATGTTCTGGGTTGGGGAGAGAGGATGTGGATTGAGTGTAAAAACAAGATTTCCCAGATATAACTATTAAAACTGGGTAATGGTTCATTTTATTCTTCTCTGTACAAATCTATATGTTTAAACATATCCATGATAAAATACTTTTTAAAAATAAAAATCTACTGATGGGAATTCTCTTTAAGGAAAAGAGCTTTAGAGATTATCTGGTCCAACATGTAAATTTCCACTATGTGAAATGCAAGAGTTTGGCATTATGTATACCTTATACACAGTTAAGTCCCTAAAATTTGAAGAAAATTCAGAAATGAGATGTTTGAGTTGATTATTTTAGGTAAGACCTCACCTTAAATTCAGTTTTACATGGCTATTAATTTCCCTCAAGTTCTGTAACACAAATTTAATAGCTGCTATGTAAACTTAAATAGAAAATGAATGTAACTATTTATTTTCACCATTTATTAATCAGACTACATTTTTTGATGATGCATATTCAAAAGGCAATTGCTTTAGGGAGAAAAAGCCTTCAAAAATTCAAAGCATATTTTAAAATATGGAACGCTTCACGAATTTGCATGTCATCCTTGCACAGGGGCCATGCTAATCTCTGTATCGTTCCAATTTTAGTATATGTGCTGCCAAAGCGAGCACTGAATGTAACTCTTAAACGGGCAGGAGTTAACTTGATAACTAAAATTTATAACTTGACCCATTCTTAACTAATGTTGGCTAGAAAGACCATTTCCCCCCCAATAAAAAAGCAACTTTATTAGATGGTATCAGTGTTACAGTGAGAAGACAGAGGTGAAGGAATCAATGCTGATTGATTTTATCACACATTCCTAAAACAGCCCAGATCAAGCCACACTGCTTCTGCTCCCAAAGAACCCAAGTATAAGAAGATTCCAACTTTGAGATGGAGCAAGTAACACCTATAAAATACTACTCAGGCACAAGAACTTTTATCACTAATGCAAGAAATGCCCCTCTCCCAAGAAGAAAAGCTTACACTAAAGCCTAGTGTATCAACTAGAAGGTACCTCAGAAATCAACACCTATAGCTCTCATTTTACAGAAGAGAAAACTTAAAGTCCAGAGAACTGAAGTTGCTTTGTCAAAAAAACATCTGTTTACATACAAGCAGAGCTAACAATAGGAGAAAACTATAGCTCTGCAAACAAATGGCTACTTTGCCCGTTTCCAGAATGAGAATTCCAAGCAAAAAAGCACACAGTCAATTTCCAAAGACCAGAGTTTTCTTAAAAGACTTATTCTAACAGCAGAATTCTTTGAAGAAAAAAGATGTAAAAGATTAAGGATTCACAGATCAAGATCACAAAGTTAATTTCAGGTATTTTTGCTTCAGAATCTTAGTAACTAGCACCTATTACATAGCAGAGGTAAGACAGTGTTTGGTTACTAAAGCTAAGGCTCCTTAGAACATAGTACTGTAGTAAAGGCTTTTTTGTTTTGTCTTGTTTTGTACCAGACAAACACCACACAGTCAGATGACTTGAATCGTGGAATTTTTTAAAAAGCAGGATGGGACCTTAAAAGGTAATCCAGTCCAACCTGATACGTACCATGTAAAGGAAACTGACTTGCCAAATGTCCCAAAGCCACCTGGCAGAAGCCACTTTGGTTTCTGCCCAGCTATATCTGTAAGGGAAGGAAGGACTGATGTGAAGCAGATTTGCAGCACCATTAGTTTCACAAGTAACCTTTCTGACATCTTTTAATTTTACTGAACCTACCCTGCCTGCCCCTCTCCCAAGGAGAAAAGCTTATACTTTAAGGTAACCCCAGTGTATCAACTGAAAGGTACCTTAGAATCAGCATCTATATACCTCTTTCATTTTACAAATGAGAAAACTTAATGTCCAGAGAGCTGAAGTTGTTTGCTCAAAAAAATAAAA